GGGTGGGCAGGGCACGGAGCTGCTGGCAGCCACGGCCCTGGGTGAAGCTGTTTTTTGACACTCGTGCCAAAACATACAGGTGAAAAGAAAAACCAAACCAGTAACACCAGGAGGATGTCCGGGTGGCCGGGAAGGCAGGAACTGCCCCCACTGTGTCACTGCCGCAGATAGAGAGATAAAAGTTAACGTAAGAGGGTAATTAATTAGCACTGAGCACTGGTCTGAGTGCTTATGCTCCCTGCACTGGCAACGCCAACGCCCGGCCTCCTGGCTGACGGGGCCCCAGCGCCAGCGGCCTGAGCTGGCAGAGCCCATCGGGCGTCAGCCGCGGCGGACGAGCGGGCACAGAGCTCACACAGGCCACACAGGGCCGCGGGGTCCAGCCCCGCACAGCAGCAAGGGCACAGGCAGGGGGGGATATCGGGGTGCCCGCCGAACAGGGGTGCAGGTCTCCACTCCCACGTTGAGCCTCCACACGCTGGTGCACGGCTGCGGCCGGAGGGATGGCTGCGGCCAGAAGGATGGCTGTGGCCAAGGGCATGGCGGAGCAGCGGCAGCGGCGGCAGTCCAGGCCCCATGGCGGCGTGGCGTCTGCCAGCTCCACTCCAAGGTCACTCCCTCCTCCTCCTCCTCCTCCAGCCAGGTGACGTGGGACCTGCTGCGGGACCTGCCTGCAGCCTGCCTGCAGCCTGCCTGCAGCCTGCCTAGACCCCTGCACCCTGCCCAGACCCCTGCACCCTGCCTGCACACTTGTGCCATCCATACCTGCACCCTGCCTGGACATTTGCACCCTGCCTGCACCCTGCCTGCATGCTGGCACCCTCCACCTGCAGACCTGCCGCCCCCCAGCCCCCCAAAATCAGCGTCCCGGCACCGGCACCCCCAGCCACACGCGTGCACACGCGTGCACACGCATGTACACACGCACAGGCACGCACACCCCTCCAGGACCTGGCTCCAGCCCGGAGCTGGCTGCACCTAAGGGACAGGGGACGTCACACCAGCACCCCCAGGCTCATGGGGCCACCAAGAGCCCCCCAGCCTGTCGCACCCCACCCAGGCCGTGCCCCGAAAATCTCGAAGCACGATGGAGCCGGCCTGGCCCGGGCTCTTCCCCCAGCACCCCGTCATGTCGGGGGGCAGAGAGGCTGGAGATGGGGGACGTTTGGTGGCACGGTGGCCCCGTCCCCAGGTGTCACCCCGGGGTCGGGACCCTCCTCCTCCTCCCCGAGGAGGGACCCGCCGCTCTCCCACCGTGGGTCCCCGTCCCCACCCGGCTGCCGCCTGGCCCCGAGCCCATCCCAAAGCGCCTCGGGGGTGGCTCATCTGCGCACTGAGTTTAGCACGTTCTCAGCCTGCGTTCCTCCCCCATGGCTCAGCCCCAGGCCCGTCTCCCATGCCAGCTCTTGGTGGCGCCCATGGGGCCACGGTCCCCCCTGGGGTCACCCCGCTATGAGACCCCGCTGCTCACCCCCAGCAGCCCCCCCGGCAGAGCAGGCTGGTGGCTGCCGCCCCCCCCCTAGCCCTGCCGCTGCCTGCAGCCGCTCACCTCACCGCCGTGCTCCTGCCCCCGAAAATGCAGCAGACGGAGACCCCTCCCGCGCGTGGAGGCAGCAGAGCGGGGCTCCCGGCAAACCGGGAGCAGGGGGACACTGGCCACGTCACACCGCTCCTGGGGATGGAGGACGTGGCACGGTCGCGGCCACGCAGCCTGGCCCCCCCCCGCCACCCCCTCCCGCACC